GCCATGAAAAATTCATCAGCAGATGTCCCGGGAGGCTGACACACAGCCCCTGCAGCGGGAGCAGCTCAGCCACTGCTCCTCTCACCAGGCTCCCTGCCTGGGGGAAACAGGGTCAGGCTGAGTGCCCACTGAGGGTGCTCCCTGGCACCCTCTGCTTGGCTTTGTGTTGGATTTGTAGGTGTTACTGCGAGCAAAGTCAGGGGAAGTGACCACACGGAGGAAGCCTGGAGATGGGGGTGACAGCAGGGCGGTGGCTGAGCTTAGCTGTGGGACCAGAGATGCTCAGGGCTGTGCTCTGCCCTCCTGCCCTGCCCACACTCCTACACTGCAGGTGGGGAAAGGGGCTCAGGGATGCAGTGAAATTGCTCAGAGAAGGGCAACAAAGTTTGTGAAGGGTATGGAACACAAATCCTGTGAGGAGAAGCTGAGGGAGCTCGAATCGTTTGGCCTGGAAAAGATGACTTATCTCTACAGCTCCCTGACAGGAGGGTGTAGCCAGCTGGGAATCAGTCTCTTCTCCCCAGTGACAGGATGAGAGGACATAGTCCTGTGCCAGGGGAGTCTAGGTTGGACATTAGAAGGAATTTCTTCACAGAAGGGGCTGTCAGACATTGGAATGGGCTGCCCAGGGAGACAGTAGAGTCACCGTCCCTGAAGGTGTTTAAGAAAGGCCTGGATGTGGCACTCAGTTGCCATGGTTTAGTTGACAGGGGGTTATGTAGTCAAAGGTTGGAATCAATGATCTCAGAGGCCTTTTCCAAACAAATTCATTTTTTGATCTTTGTGCCAGTGATGGCAGGATATGGCCCATCAGGGAAACACACCAGGGGGACACACAGTCCCCTCCTGCTCTTCCCCAAATCAGGAAGGTTGCTGGGACAACCATAGGCTGAGGTGGCAGGTCGGGACCTCAGGAGCAGTGGCAGGCTGTGGCTTAGGCTGCTGGCTCTCTCCCCATGGCCCTGCTGGCCAAGCCCAGCTCTTATCGCTGGTGCCTGTGCATGGCAGAGCCCTTGGTCAGCCCTGGACCGCTGACCAGGGCCCAGATAAGCCAAACACACGGTTCAAAGGCCATCCTCTCTCCACTGGCATGAGGCAACCTGGGAGGCTCTGAGCAATGCCTGGAGGGATGCAGAGCTGGGAAACACCTCAGAGAAATTGTGGTGACAATGCAAACCACTGCATTCCCCCTTCTTGCCAGCTCTGGACCAGGCAGAGCAGATGTGGGCTAATCCTGACCTGTTCTTGGCAGGCAACCAGTCCCTGAGGCCTGCTCAAAGCCACATGTGCCTGGGGTCAGGCCAGGCTCTGCCCCCAGAGCTGGGGAGAGGGGACACCATGTTTGAGTGTGGGTGGGTGACCCAGCCCTTTGTCCACACACCCGTGTGGTCCCATCGGACACTGCATGGCTGCCATGGGAGGGATGGAGGGAGCCTTGGGATGTCCCCAGGACTCAGAAAGTGTCTTTCCAGAATATACCACCCCAAGGGATGGCCAGGCCAAGCTGGGAAAGCTCTGCAGCACCCAAGGTCCTGTTGCTCAGCCTGGCAGAGGAGCCCTGCTGCAACCCCTGGAGCTGTTTACCTGCAGGGCCCTGCTCCAGCAGCTGGAGGTGAGGGCTCCTGGCAGGTCAGCTGCTGCTTTTTGCACAACAAAGCCATGGGCTGCTCCTTTATCTTGTTCTCCCTCCCCTATTATCAATAGTTTTTCTGGTCCAACTGGATTTACCAGCTACCACATCCCCAAGAAAGGGAGAAGGTCCACAGAGCAGAGGCGAGGAGGGGGAACCTCCCACCCTCTGCCTCCAAGGCCTGCCCCAAACCTCTCAGCAACTGAACATTAACAGCACCTGCTAAGTCCCCAACACAGAGCCTTTTGTGCTGACCTGGAGCAGGCACATAGCTCTGCCACACTCCCACAGCATCCAGTCAGCCACAGAAGCTCTGGAGTAACACATCCAGAGGGAACTTCCAACTCCATGCTGGGAAAGCTGGGTGCTGTTATCCAGCTCTGGCTGCTCTGTGCCTCAGTTTCTTCCCTGGGAAGGAAAGAGACAGGACTGACAATATGGATGTGCCACCATGTCACAAGTCTGTGTGACACACACAGTGGCTCCCTCCAGCACCTGTTTGGGTTTGGGGCTGGCTGCCACCTTTAGAAGGTAACTCTGACCCCAGGACATGGTGCAGAGCCCACCTTATCCCCGCTCCTGACAAGGCCAAACCCAGACAGGACCCAGCCAGCAGGGCTGCACTGACCAGGAGCAGGGACGAGATGGGCTCTGCACCTTTACTCGTCCCCAGGATGCATCCCTGTCCCCCATGTCTGTGTGAAGGAGCTGTGTGAACACACAGCAGCACAGGGTGGTCTCTGCTTCTGCTACACATGTGAGCAGTCACACCAAAAAAGGGAAGTGAAGCAAAAAAATTTGAAGCCCTGCCAGGAAGATGACACCATGAGAGCTTCTGGGTGACAAGTGGTTTTGGTTTCTGCAGTCTGGTGGGGAATATTTAAAGGCTGTTAACTCTTGAGGAACCCCAAGAGGAGTCTGGCACAGCTGTAATAACAGTTCATGGTACTCTCCAAGAGCTTTGGAAAAAAGCAGGGCTGAAAAATCAGCAACTTCTGGACATGCTGAGGCACAGTGGTGTATTTGTCCCCCAAATCAAATGTCTCTGTTTAAATCCTGCAGCCCCCAGAGCTCCTAGCTGGCAGTGAGAAATCCACTGGTGGCTGGCATTGGGTGTTGTGTCCGTGCAGGAGGAGTTGCTGTATGTGAGCATCTGTCAGGATGCCAGACCTGATCCCACCATCAGTCCCTCTGTGCTGCCTTCAGCTCCATGCCATGCTGCAGGAGCAGAGGCCACACCTTTGCACACACCTTGTGACTGCAAGGTACCAAACCTCTGCTCCGTGTGTCCGTGTACCCCAGGGAGCCCCCGGGCCGTACATCGCAGGCAGCTGCAGGGCTGTGCCCAGCACCAGGATACAGCGGCAGATCAGGATGTGCCAGACCCGGCACAAAGATCCCTGAACAGGAGCTGCCACCTGCTGGCACAGGGACAATCACAGAGACCTGGATTTTGGGGTGGCCCTGCACTATGACACTGGCTCTGCCCAGCAGCACTAAGCAGGCTGGGGCTAGTACAGTACAGCCCAGGCAGTGCTGCTTTCACCCTGGGACATTCACTCTGCTGAGAGCTTGCCCAGTCCTGAATCCTCGCTCTTGCCAAGGATGCTCCAGCTGTAGCTGTTCTCTGAAGGCTTGAACTCTCCATTAGTTTGTGCCAGGCTGGAAGCTGGCTGGGAAATGACACCTCCAACCTCCTACTCAGCTCCCTGTGGCAGCTCCAGACCCGATGCCACAAGATCAGGTGGCTCTGGTGAGGCACAGCTGGACTTGTGCTCCAGGGGATGTCCCAGTGTGTGCCCCACCTCTGCCAGCCCACGGAGGGACAGGATGCCTTGGTGCAGGGGGACAGGAGCAAAGTGAGGAGCTGAGGGGGACCATCAGGTCAGAGTCACTTTCCTGGGATTAGGAAGGATGTGGCTTTGAGCTTTCTGGGAAACTCCAGAGCACAGCAAAGGCCCTTCTCCAGCCAAGAGTATCCCTGATAACATCAAACTTAGTCAGCTGTGTTGAGAGATAAGCCTTGAGGGAACAGGCTCTGGGGAAAGTCTCCTGGGAAGTTTCCTTCCCTTGACTCTGGGAAGCCTCGGCACTGGGGGAAATGGTGAGCTGGGGGGTGCCAGCCCATCCCCAAACCCCCTCACCCACTGGGGAATCCCTGCTCAGTGGGACTCAGCCCCTTCCTGCTTCCCAAAGGACAGAGGAACAAAAGAGGAGGAGGGGGAGGGGAAAGGTCTAAGAGAAACTTCTTCCAACTTCTCGGGAAGAGAAAAGCCCTATTCAGGCAGGAAAAATACCCGGTGGAGCTGTCACTAAGCAACCCACAGCAATGTGGTACGACCTGAGGGACAGGCAAGGAACAAAACAAGGGACAACGCCTCATTGCCCACCCACAGCCCATAAGGAAGAGCCTGCAGGGCTTGGGGACAGGGGACACCACCAGGGCCACCATGAGGGGCTGAGACATCCAGCAGGTCCAACGCTCCTGGGTGCAGGAGTTTCTCCTCAGTGACCAACCTCACTCAGGCTTCCCTGTTTGCTGTTCAGGAAGGATTTCTGGTCTGCTCCTGTGGCTCCCTATGGGCCTGGTGTTCCCACAGGGCTGCACCATTCCCAACAGAGGCTCTGTGCATTTTGGACAACTCCCTGCTCCCACAGACACTGCGGGCTCATATGGGCAGAGCAGCCAGGCACAGGCTACACCCTCTCCAGAGAAGCTGAATTCTGCATTTAGATTCTCAATGTGGGAGGTTGTCCTTCACAAACAAGCTCAGTGAGACATGAGAAACTGCCTGGCCTCTCTGCAGCACAAGGGAAAAGGGACAAAGGAAATCAAGCCTAACAAACCCCGCTGACAGTCCCGGCTGAAATGCCTTCCTTGGAGCCCAGAGAGTCCCTGGAGACGCTGCTGCCCCCAACAAAAATGCTGCAGAAATGGAAAAACACTCACAACCAAAGCAGGTCCAGTGAGTGTGTAGCTGGTTAACCCCAGGGAGATGCACTGGACCTGCTGGGACACTGGAGCTGGATTTTTGCCTGCATAGTGTCATGGGGGAAACATCCAGCCCTTCAAGCATTTGCCTTGAGCATCTGATATATTTGGAGAGCAGTTGCTGGGACAAGAGCAAACTTGCCAGGTGTTCACGCACTTCCTCAGGGAGGTGTTTGGCAGGTGCTGATCCCTGTCCTACAAGGTGAACAGCTGGGGGATGCTCAGGTATGTCCACATGAGCTGCAGAGCTTCTCCAGGTGGAAGTAATCTCATTATCCCTCAGTCCTGCCCTTTCCTGGCTTTGCCATCTGCTGTATCTCAGCCTTTAAAGCATCAGTTCTGGTGACACTAAATAACCACAACCCACAGGGCTGCACGAAAGATCAGCTTGGCCAAGCTAGTGCCATTTATTTATGCCACAAACCACTTACAGGAGGCCAACACACTCCTGGCTGCAGCTGGGCCCATCTCAGCATCATGGGGGACAGGCACTTCAGCCAGCAGCAAGGACAGATAGCATCCATCCCTGGACTTGGAGAGCTCCCACCTCTTCTGGCAACAGGACAAACACAGTGCTCTGGGCACAGCTGGGAGCCAAGCATGACAAAGTCCAGCTATGCAAGGACTTGGCACATCAGGTCCATGCCATGAATTCACATTTTGTGCAGCCAGGGGAGCCCTGGAGTAAAGACATCAGGTACAGGAGGTCTGCTACACCATGGAGAGCAGCTACCTGCCCTTGAGTTGATGGCAGTGTTCCTCTGGAAGTGTCATAGCAAGGCCACACTGGGGAGCAGAGGTGAAACTCATTCTCTCTCGAATTAGTCACCTGGAAGTTTCCAGTCCATCCTTTTTATCTGCAGGGAGCAGAATGAGTGCAGCGCCCCCACCCCAGAAATTAAATCAACCTGAAACAGGATCTGTGTTTCCACCTCCATCCATTCCAGCTCCTCAGGGAATTTTAGACAATACCCAGCTCCAAAATGCACATTGCTAATGGAGAGGATGCACCCAGAAGAGAAGTGGCCCCAGCCTGAGGAGCATCGCCTTGCAAAGAGAGAAAACCTGGATTACATAAAGGACATGGGACCATATCCATCCTGGATTCTGCTCTCCTAATACCCGTTCCTACAACAACCAGCAAGAGTCCTGCAGCTCACCTAGATGGGACTTTGTTAACACACTGCATGACCTTGCTGGTCTTTGGATCTGCAGCATTCACACATTTGTTGAAATGTTGTGAAATAACAGAGGTGCTGAAGGAGGAAATGCCTTTGTGGGAATGAAATGTGCCTGGCAGTCCAGAGCTAACCTTGGCTCTGGTGGTCCTCTTCTGTTCCCAGTGAGGTGTTGTTGAGATTTCCCAGGCAATGGCCCTTGCCACAGTCAGGTTCTCTGGTAAAGTTTCATGATATTCTCATCATGGAGTCTTTTCCACACCTGCTTCTCCAAGTTGAAGTCATGGTTAATGTAGAAAATCAGACGTTTCTGGTCCTTGTCATAGTAGTGATCCGAGTACTTCTCGTGCCCCTCCGTGATGTAACCATAGGCACTGACCTGGGAAAGATGCAGGGCTCACTGGGCAGGGGTAGCAGGGATGGAGGGAGCAGCTGAAATACAGGACACAGCTCCCAAACAGGGAGTGAGCACAGGACAGAGATCCAGCTGGGGCATCTCTGGTGACCCTGTGTGGGGGTCCAGAAGAACCAGACTGTGAGCACTGGCTCCAGAGATCCTGCTGTCCCCTCACTGCCTCCCTGGGAGGTCATCTGCTCTAGGTCACAGGAGGCTTCACCACCTCTATGGGAGCTATTTTGGGGCTGTTTCTCATCTTCAGTGGGCTCATCTACAGCTGACATGAGCCCATATACTCTTGAGGCAGACAGCAGCCACTTCTGCTCTCTATCCCCTGTTCCCACTTCCAGACAGTTCTGGATGCAAGAAACACCGTACCCTTACCCGGTCACAGAGATGGAGGGCAGTCAGCAGCAGGAAGGCCCCCGTTGTGGGTCTGTACAGCTTCCAGTAGTGCTTTTCCAAATTTTTAGACTTTAAAAACCTGCAGAAGGAGAGATGAAAGCACTGAGGAGCTGCTGGCTGTGGTGTTTCAAACAGGGCACACCTTGTCCCCCTGTGGCCCATGTGGGACCTTCCCTACTTGCAGCAGCTTGGGGCCATATGAAGCATTTCAGAGAAGCCACAAGTGCCCAGAGCTCTTCACCACCTGCACTGCAACGTAAGGCCAGCTCTGCCCCAGCTTTGTGGAAATGCTAGGTCTTGAGGCAGTGGCAGTAAAGAGGGAATGGATTAGAGGATTTCGTAGGTTAAAGCCCTCTACTCTTAAATCTGTCCTCTGCTTTGCAGTGCCGAGGTGGCTTTGAAGCACCCTGGTATATCCTGTTCCCCACCCACATTTAGGAGTGAAATGAGACATAGGGAAGCTGCAGAGGAGCATCACAAAACCTGCCAGGACCTGCACCGTGTTATGCCAGGAGTTGTTAGGAAAGTAGGAGTAAACACTGGGAAAAAATAGCATGGAGTCCTCTTGGCCTTGGAAAGGACCCAAGTCAGAGTGGGGACAGCAGAGCGGGCAGGGAGTGCCGGCCATCTGGCTCCAGGGAAGGCAGCAGCTCTCAAGGAGACTGAAGGGTAAAGGCAGCCTAAGCAGGACACAACAGGAGCTCCTGTTCCTCCATCTCTCAGTCATGTGTGGCCCATGATGAGCAGATCTCATGTTGACAGTGGCCAGCAGGCTTGTGGAAAGGGTTAGAGAGGCACAGAAGAGCAGCAGCCAGCCCAGGCAAAGGGGATGCTGAAGAAGAGCCTGTGATCATGCTTGAGGGCACAACCAACCTCCTGAAAGAATCTCTGGAGAGCAGGTCTGTTACAGAGCCTTCCTCCAACGTGCTGAGCAAGGGGGAATGAAAATCTGGTCCTGTACTAGAGATCAACTATTCTATTCTATTCTATTCTATTCTATTCTATTCTATTCTATTCTATTCTATTCTATTCTATTCTATTCTATTCTATTCTATTCTACTCTATATTATCCTATCTATTCCTATTCCTATTCCTATTCCTATTCCTATTCCTATTCCTATTCCTCCATTCCATTCCATTCTGGCACATCAGCAACATTCTTCCTACACCTAAAGTTCCAATTGGCCCTGTATCTCTTTCGGATGCAGAAAACCAAACTGTCTGATGGCTGTTGCTTCTGCAGCTCACAGATTCTGGTTGTTTACCCACCACCAGCATCCCACTGCAGCACCACAGAGAGTTTCAGCTGAGCTCACACTGCTGACACTTATCTCCAAGCTGCTGGTGTGGCAGAACTGTGGTTACAGGGGAGGATGCTGGGAGGAGAGGCCAGAGACAGAGACAGATGGTGCTAGCCAGGAAAAACAAGCCTGTCAGAGCACTCAACCTGCAGCTCACCTGTTTTTCATGTATCTGAGGAAATCAGGATGAACCACCAGGTATTTGTCCATTGTGAAATCTTTATCGAATTTCTGCCGGGGCTTCTGCCTAAGGACAGGAATGGGGAGACTCAGTACAAGCTCCTACACCTCATCACAGCTGGAAAGGATCAGCCCTGAGGCATTTGATGCACTTGGTGGTAAGAGAAGAACCACAAACACCATGAAGATATTCTGTAACATTTCCAACATTACGACAAAGCCTCCATAGCCTGTGTGCATTGCAGAGGAAGAGATCAGGGAGGAGAGGCAACAAAAGGAGACAGGAATATCAAAAGGATGTGTTTGTATAGGCAAAAATTTGTGATCCAATGAGCAGGCCACACCAGACCAGTCAGCAGCATGTGTTCATCCCCAAAAGCCACAAGCTCTGGCCACACGTCATTGAAATCAGCTACCTCTGGGAAGGAGGTGTATTGATTACAGCAGTGCTCAGAGCTGTGGAGGAAATGAGAGATTTCTGCCTGCAAGTCTGCCAGAGGAGGGAGGCTTTACCCTGGTCTGCTCTTCTGTTGGGTTGAGCACTGGGAGAGGAAAAGAGCACAACAGAGAGCTTGTCACTGGAGGGGTGGAGGGGGCTATAGTTTATTTTACCCGCTGAGGTTCAAGAATCCTTTCCTGATGTCCTTGTTGAACAGAAGAGCGTCTAGCCACTCATAATCCCTTGCTGCCTCCAGGAAGTGAATGTATCTGACATGCTAAGAAAACAAGTGAGCATTAGTGAACAGCACTTCAAAAAAAATGCAACATCTTGTCTCCCTGAGTTTCTTGGACACACATCTTCAGTCTGCAGCTCAGTAGCAGAGTGGAGACAGTATCTGATGTGCAGCTCCCCTCCTAAAGGCTGGGGTAGCACTGACACAACTTGCCACTGCAAACACTCACTCCGAGCCAAGGCAGTGCAGGTCCCCTCACTGAGGGTAATGCTAAAAGGGCTGCCTCAGCCCCTTTGCTCTTTGTGGCAAGAGCAGAACTGAAGCACACAGACAAACAGCATCCTGTCAAAGTTGTGCATGCACAAAGCAGAGACCTCACTTACATTATCTCGTGGGATGTTGCTAAACCCTCTGTGTCCCAAAATCTGAAGAGAGGAAACCAGGGAGTAGGCTGTGAATCCATAAAAGGAGGTTTTTGTTCCCACATCTTTTTCATAACCCTTGATTACAGCCCCGCTCACCCTGGCCAAGGAAATCAAACAGAGGAGCAGAGTTAGGTGACCACTGAAACCCCTTACATTTACATTCCTAATAGGAAAAGACAGTGTTAGCCTGGAGGAAGGGAAGACTAGGCCCATTCTGATTGGCACCCTGATCTGCAGGAGAGCCCCTGCTGTGGAGATGGCTCTTTATGGCTCATTTGTGACCACAGGCTTTGGATATTTAGTAACTTTCCAATTATTTTTGAGCTTTTTATCTCCTGGAATCCATCATTTTGGCACTTGGAAATGAGTGGAACACTAGAAGAGATGAAGTGATCCGGTCACAGTTAGGGGCTAGCCACAATAAGCTAGCTGTGCATCTGCTGAGAAGGGAGGCTGCCTTACCTGAAGACATAGTCATGGGAGTCAATCTCCTGGCCCATCCCAGAGTTATTCAGTATTCCTCCATTCCCCACGACAGCACAGCTGATGCACGTGGGCACACTGCTGTCACGGCTGGCCAGGAGCAGCTGCTGCTGGGGCTTTGGGGGCAGCAGGGATATGACCTCCTTTACGACTGTGAAGCAAACACAGTGGAGAGTTATCAAGAGCCTTTGGGATGGACACAGTGAAACCACCAGAGTTTCCACCATGAGATCCTCCTAGACTGATGCCTTTGATGGGGAGATGCTGCAAACCTCCAGTTACTCAGCATAAGGTTCCTGTTAGGAGTCTGAAAGTCCCATCCTTGCAAGCCCTGAGGGACTCACGTGAATAATTCAGGTCCATGAAGCCATAGGGGGGTATAAAATGCTCCAGGCGGTTCCATTCACTGTCACTGAAGTACCTCTTGTCTATGAAGAGTGTGATGTTGGGCAGGAAAAGATCCCGAAGCCAGTCAGACTTGGCAGCCCTTGCCCTCACTGATTCAGAGCAGGTCTTAAAAAACAAAAAGGAAACAGGAACAACTGATGAGCAGAGGAGATAAACCTTAGTGCCAGTCCTTGTGTGCCTGTCAGTGGCAGGGCCAAAGAGAAACACAGAAACTCCAGTGGTACCTCATCCATTCCCCTCATAATCCCCATCACCAGGAACATGAAGCACAATTTTAGTGCTACATCCATGAATGGCTGGTGAAAAGTCACCTACAAGGGAGCCAGGATGACTCCAAGTCTCTGAGACTTTCTTCTTCAGAGCAACAGGCCTGTCATGCTTAAATGTTTTACTGGCTTAGGGCCTCATTAGCTGATGCAAATTAACATTTGTAATAGGTCTAACCTAAATGCATAAAAAAAAAGCTGTAAGCACTAAGAATATGCTACAATAATATATACATGCTATAATGAGCAATCCCTGTTGGTAACCTCACAAGGTCCTGATAGTGCACCCAAGGAAACATTGATGAACAAGTGAAATCAGATCAACACTGCCATTCCCTTTAAGTGAAACAAAAAATGTGCAACAACTTGTTCAATGTCCTAAATAAATCAGTGAAATGTGCATCTGAGAAGGGAATCCAATCCAGCTTATCCTACAAGGTGGGGTCTCTCTGCAGCTGGCAAGAGTGAGGCTGTGTGTGCAGATGGAAAGCAAATAGTTCCACTACACTGAATGTTCTGCTGAGTCAGTTTGAGCTCTACTTTCTTAGAGACCTTCCCCAAACACCTACTGAAAGACAAAACAGAGACCAAATGGACCCTCATGCCCAGCTCAATTCCCCAGCTATGGCTGCCAAAGCCTTGCTGAGTGCTCCATGGCTGGGCTGGGCTCTCTGCAGTGGATGAGGATGACAACCCTGTAACAGCCTGAGGAGACAGCCCTCATTCTGCCTGTCACCACAGGAGCACACTGAGGACAACACTGTCAAGGGTTTCATGGTGACAATCATTTCAGTCACAGCATATTTCATGTCCAGAAACAGGGACATTCCCTTCTGTTCAAGCAGGTACTGTCTTGGTACCTCTTGTGCCTCCTGAGCTAGACTGGATCAGCACCAGAGGAACAAGGGAAAACTCTCATCATGTAGGGAATTAAGGAGGGGGGAGTTTCTACTGACTCCCTCTTTCTGCAGAATTACAGATCAGGTTTGGGAGGGAGACAGAACATGCGAGAAGGCGACCCACCTGTTCCAAGCCTTCCAGAAACAGGGTTGCCAGGGAAAACTGCTCTGGGTAAGCTTTACAAAGATTTACCAGCATAGGATGGGGGACAGAGACAGTATGAGACACCACAACCTGTCCCATCTGCTTGCTGAGAACTCTGCTGTAGTTTACTCCTTTCCTAAAGGCCCTGTTCCTGGACATTAGTAGTTACGAGTTGCTCAAATTTAATTAACCTGCATCTTCATGTGAATGCAGATGTTGTATATAGAGATCTTCCCATCTGGGTCCCACCAGCACCTGCATATACCAGTGAGTGACCTACCAGCTCTGAAATCATCCTCAGCTGCAAAGGGCACACATGCCCAGGGGCCAGCAGACAAAGAGGTCAATGGGGAAGCACCATTCTTGGTGACCATCTGCACCATCCCACCTACCGAGGGTGGGGATGAGTTATCCAGCAGGTACTTGTCCTCAAAATCCCACTGTGGCTCAGATTGGAAGTTAGCAGCACTCAGTTTCCTCTTCTGTGTCACTGCAGTAGCCTGAGGAACAGGTCTTACAGGTTTCATTGATGCTTTGGGTTTTGCTTGGTCTTTGGATGTGTTGTTCTCATGTGCTGCCTTCATCCCAGAGTATGGTTTCACTGTTGCCTTCTCCATGTCTCCCTTCTCCCTGGGAAGTGGTTTCACTGTTGTCTTTTCCTTGGCTTCTTCCACCTGTGGAGCTGGCCTCACTGTTATTTTCCCCTTGTTTCCCGGCACCATAGGGGTTGTTTTCACTGTTGTCTTCTTGATTCCCTCCAACAGGGGTGGTGGTTTCACAGCCATGTTCTCCTTGGCTTCCTTAATGCTCATAACTGGTTTCATTGTTTTCTCCTGCTCCTCCTTTCCTTTCCATCTTGGTGTCTTCTCCACCACATCTTTGAGTCTTGTGATGTGTCCTCCCAAAGTCACCTTTAAAATGCTCCTGGAGTTCCCATTATCAGAACAGTTTAAACCCTGTTGCTTTTGGGTGTCCACTTGTTGTGTCTCTGGGGCATGTTGGAAAATGTTCAGTTTCCTGAATGAAATCAAAGGAAAAGCAGATACATCACACAAGCTTAACACTGGACACCCTTCAGCCCATTTATAATGCTCTTGACTCTGAGCCTCTCTCTGTGCTTTAGAGCAATTTCATTTTAAACTTTGCCAAAATGTTATTCAACTTTCTACACCATTCTAGCCTGAATATTGCTTATCTCCCCACTAGGCAAATCCCAGAGGCACACATTCTCTCCTCAGCACTTGGCACATGAAACATTCACACTGGCAGTAGCAGCCAACCAGCACAGCCCAGCTTTGCCACGCACTGGGCAGGCCCCCTGGCAGTGTCCCCAGAGCACTGCGGGGTTGGTTTGGAGATCCTGGGCTCTGGGCATGGCACACACCATGGAGGCAGCCATCTGCCTCTCTCCTCTGCCAGCAGAGCCCTGTGCTTCAGCAACAGAGCATGAAGACCTTCCAGAATTCAGGAAGGGAAGTCTAAGAAGAAGTGAAACTCATTTCTTTACCCTACATCACCTCTTGATCTTTTGGGGCCACAGGGCACTTCTTTCTCTCCTACTCCACGTTGGTCAGGTAATGCAAGGGCATCATAGAGCACTCACCAGGCATATGTATCTGAAGGCAGACACTGTGAAGCTATTAAAATGTAAAATCTCTACATTTTTAGCATTTGCCTCTAATATTGCAGCTCCCCTGTTGTCTGATTCAGAGGCACAGGCAGGTACAAGGTTATCACAGGAGGCCACATCTGCTGACAGCAGAAGAGCCACTTGCAACAAGACCGAGCTGAAACCCAGAAAAAAAAAAATCAAGGCAGAAGTGGTGGGGTTTTGTCCTAAACATTCCCTCTTCACTGCACAAGGCTGGAGGGTAGAACAGGAAAAAGGAAGGTGAACAATATCTGCAGCTGAGCTTTTATGTACAGCAAAGCTTTTCAGGATAAACCAGCATGGTTGTGGCAGCCTGATTCCACACTCATGTTCAGCCGTTGCATGACGCACTCGTTTCGGAATGCTGTGGATTGCTTCCGAAGTGATAAATGGGAAAAAAAGCACTTCTACAGATAACAGGCTGCAGATAGCAGCTCAGTTGCTGCTGAAATTTGATGGCTGTCATACCACTCTGAAAGTGTTCAGGAAATTATCAACTAAGGACACTTTTAAAAATCATTTTGTATGAGATAAATACATGAACCTTTGCAAGGCTGAAAAAGAGCGGTTGTAGCAAATGGCCTATCAGCTCTGCCTCTCTCATAATCATTAGCCAGTTTCAACCAAGTGTACAGCATGTGCTTTCTGTCATGGTGCTTCATGTATAAACTTACTGTTACTGCTTACTGTCCAAATGGAGGAAAGATTTTACATGGACAGTCTAAAGAGAAATTTGGTAAGGTAGCTCAGGCAGGTCTTAAATCCCTTGGTGAGATTCTGTTGTATTTTTAATATGATATTTAAAACGTTGAAATTAAAGTGCAGAGAACAAATTAAATAGGAGTTTCAGTATAAGAAATCATCCTTCACTCCAGGCTTTCCCTGTATGTGCTCCCTATAGGTGCTCCCTATTTCCCTATGTGCTGGTTTGCAGGGCAGATTCTACCTCAGTCTATTACACTTTAACTTCAGATGCTGTGCCAGAGACCAGAATGTAAAACTGAGAACTCTTCACATCCCAAACCTTGCTCTCTGCAGTCAGACCCACGTGGCCAGGCACTCCTGCTTACACAGGACCCTGCTCTCCTGACCAGCATTTTAAATCCAGACAAATGGTCAAAGCAGCTCTGTGAATTTCAGGCTCTAGAGTCCAGCTGGCAAACAACTGCAGAAGCTCAATGACATTTACTGTCATTTTCCTCCCATTTTACAAAGCTCAAGGACAAATAGAGGATAAAGCCATGAAAATGCTGCTTTGTGTATTCTACGTGACATACAAGATACAGAAATAGAACTGCCACACAGACAACCACACACAGCTCATACCTTGCTGTGTTTTACTTAAGTTGTATAAATACAGGTATTTCCATCCTCTGAAACTACAGTAGAAGGAAATGGCTTCAAGCAGCTGAACATGGAGAGCCACTGCTCCAGCTCTGCCACTGATGGGCTATGGGATCCCTTCTCTACACCTCCTCCTTCTGTCCTTTCCTTCCCACCTCCCTTGTGCAGATTCCATCCTCTCCAAATTGACAGCTGTCCTCAAAGCGTGGTGTCAAGCTCCTAGAGCTGAGCTGAACTCAAATCACCTCCAGAAGAGCTGCAGATGTTCCCAGCCTCACTCCTCCTGCCTGCCCCCACAGCACCAGCCCAGACATTCAGCTGAGAACCAACACAACCAAGCCAAACCAGATGAGCTCACTGGGAGAGCTGGGACCAGGTGAGGGTGGTGGGGAGGCTGAGAGTGGTGCTTCCTATGCACAGCATCCATGAGCCATATCTGTACTGGGAAAGGCTCACGTGTCTGCAAGGCCTCATGCAAGGAGCAGTGCTCCCTAACAGTGATGCTGGAGACATTTCACCGCAATTCCCTCCACACACATTCCTGTAGGATTTACTTGACCATTTATAGAAAATAGATATCAAGATATCATGTCTGCATGACACTGATGTCCCAGTATGCAGCATGTTTTGTGTTAGGAATCAGCTGCTGAACTTGCCATAAATTCAAAGCCATCCCACCAAATTCACTGTCCAGCAATGCAATCTGGATTAGGGCTGAATAAGGTTCTTTCAGGAGCCAACTGGAAAAGCAAATGCTATCTAGTGCCCAAGTATGAAAACAGGTAGGATTAGTGAAGCAAAAGCTGCTTTACAAAAGGAAGCCCTGGAAAATAGTGAGCCAAGAGAAGCAGGTTTTTGACTTTTGACTTGGAGATCTTCCAACACAATGCTCTGCTAAAGTAAAGTCGTTACTAAACTCAGATCAGAAGTGCAAGTTGCAGGGTAAAAAAGACAGAGAGAGAAAACGAGCACAACCATCCACACCAGACAGAGCATGCCATGAAGGTACAGGTCCCTTACCTGAAAATCTTTGTCTTCACCAAATCAAACAAGGAGCTGGAATTGACAATGAAGAGGCAGAACTGTGTTACAACAACGAGGCAAATCAGGGCTTTGGCAATTTTCGGGAGTCTTATCCTGGAACAGCGCATGGTGCGATACCTGAGAGTGGCAGAGGCGCTGCTGCCGCTGCCCAAAGGCGCTCGCCAGGCACTGCCTCACCAAGGTGTGTGGAAGGACTGGGCTGGTCTTCCCTCTGGATTTCCCTATGCACACCCTGTCTCCCAGCATTCCCAGACACTCTGCACACAGATCCAATTTCTCAGGCAAGGCATCAGTTTTGTACTGTTCCTGTCTATCACCAGAAGTTTATTCAACAAAGAGCGGGGAAAGGAACAGTTTTTGCTGCAAACAATGGAAGTTTCCTGTATCTTAATGATGTTGGCCCGCCCTAAAATGGAAACCCCTTATCTCTTCCTGGAAGAAACATCACTGGGAATGCATGTGAACTACGGAAGTGGCCACAGTTACAAACCCAAGAAGCTTTCATACCAGCACCTGCCCAAGGTTTTAGACATAACCATACCCAGATATTCTTCATGCAGTAATTTCTTGCAGCTCTGATCCAGAAGCAAACCCTGCCCCCTTTGCTGAAGCTAGATACACATCCACTTTATTTTGTGGTTGGTTTGAAACAAATCAAAGTAAGACTTGGTGCAAATACACCACAGAAAAGAGGAGTTTGTGTTAGGAAAATCCCCAGCCAGTGTGAAATCAATCTTTGGCAGTCCAGAGTACATCACCTCACCAGCAGAGTTTAGGATTTGCAAAAATGAACACCACAGCCAGAGAAATGTTTATTTCTACCAGGGATGTAGTTTTACAGCAAAGGGCTATTTTAACTTTTTAAGTTGTTAAACATTAACCCTGAAAGTTCAAGGAGAGATGGACATATTACTTCTTATGCATAGGCTGCTTTGGCACAGCTCTTATAAAAAAATTAAGCTCAGATATAAAAAAAGCTTTTGCTGACAGTATCTCAAATCTCAGAAGCACTCACACTGTTACTGAATACCCAGAGAACTGGAGGTGCCTGTTTTATGTCACAGCAAAGCCAGTCAACAGGTTTCACAACTACAAGACTTTTTTTGTTAATAGGGGTCCCAAAGGGAAATTCTGGAGCTAGGAAACATTTTCCTTTAATCTCCTCCATGTAACATTACGGTGAAACCAAAAGCCACAAGGGATAGAAAAATTCCTACAAGCAGAAAAATACGGATTTTGTTGCTTTTAAGGATCTGCACTGGTGATTGTGGAGAACTTGTCTGTAGCACTCTCTGTTCAGCAGGGATTGTACTTGGGGGAATATCCAAATCTCTGGCAAGTGCATTAGCCAAAAGCAGGCTTGCTATATGCAAAACAGGACTTTTTACTTTCTTGGTGCAAGAAAAGAAAACCTAACCCCCCCATCAGAGTACAGACTTTCACTTCCTAGGAGCATCATTTCCTCACTATCCACCCCCACTGCTGAGATCAGCCTGTCAGAACTGAGGCACCAGGCTGCTTCACTCAAACATGAGGTCAGATTGGGAAATGGGGATGTATGGAACTCTCCAGGGATGACCTGGTGAAAACTGAGGCCAAGAGCAGAGCTGGTCTCTTAAACAGCTCTGTAAGAGAATTTTTGGGATACACAGGGCTCCCAGCCCAAGGTCAGGAAGGTACAAATTGAAGACTGCACAATGCACAGGGCATGGCCTCTCAAGGGCCACAGCATCCTTTTCCAAATGCATGTTTCTCTGCAGTGCTACTTGCAATCCCACCTGCCAATCCCAGGAGATGCTGCTTCTTTTGTGGTGTAGAGATTTCAAGCCCAGCACTGCTGGTGTGCTCAGTCTCAGTATCAATGCCCATTGCAGAAGTTCTTCTATTCTTCAGTACTGTAAAAATAAGATGACTTTTTTATTTAAGCAAACTGCACCTGGGATCATCAAGTGAAGATGTTTTTTTTGTCTTTTTGATCTCCAATAGTCCATTTAATTCCATGCCCACTTCACTACATCCTTAATTACATCCTGGACATATGAAAGGCAGATTCACCTAGTTGTTGGTTTTGTTCTGTTTTTTTTTTTAATTCACAAACAAACTTGATTGTCATTAGATCTTAAATTGTGGATGTGCCAACTGAGCTGGCATTTGAACTGTGCCATAAACTTACCTGTGTACACGTTCTTCATGGGGCTGTGTATCAAATCTTGTTTACTTGCCTGTGCCCTGTGTGCTTTCCACTCTCCCGTGTCTCTGGTCTACAGAACAAAACATCACAAGATGTGCTCAAAGAACTCTTCTACAGATTGATCCATCCTTGCTGCAGGATAAACTTGTCTTTAAGTGATGTCTACAACCTACCAAACCAGTGTTTGACTAGAAGCCAGTGGAATAAAACTGATTAAAAAGTTGGGGGTGTTTGAATATGTTCACAGTATTATTTGATGATATAAGAACTGATATAAGTGGGGGAGAAAAAGAATTACATTGTCTGCAGCATGCAGCTGCTCAGTGGTCATGCCTTGGGGCTAGCAAAGGCTTGGCTTGGCAATCTTAGGTTCTTGTTTTTCCCTCCTTGTTCAGCAGTCATCTTCAGAAGCAAATGCTTTCAGGCTGGGAATCTGGAGGGGAAGAAATTAAGAGAGCAAACTCTGCTCAGCTGTTTGTCTTGCTTTCACCAAATGAAACTGATAGCCCAGAAACTCCCAAGCTTGCTATAATTCCACACTCACTGGCCATTTTCCAGCTAGTTCCTTCCCTTCTGCACCAAACCTTCTCTCAAAAACTAAACAAGCACTCAGAGACAACAGTATTTGTTGTAGCAAAGCCCCCACATCTTATACAGTGACACTTTTAAGATTACCCAGAGTTCTGTGACAGAGTAAAGCCCCAGTAAACTGTGCCAGGAGTGCGGGAACAGCTTAATTAGTCAACTGGTTTGTGTTCTCCATGGGCTGAAATGCTCCAGGAGGGAAAGACACAGTGGTTTTGATGGTGGAAAGAGCAAGTGACTGCTCAGTGTCCACAGAGCAGAGCTGCAGAGATTGCAACCCACACACCAGGGAGTGTCCTTGCCTGGAGCAATCACTGGGAGATGGGGGGTAAGTGCTCTGAATCTGGCCCTATTACAGGCTCTGGTTGCTGGAACTTGTTTTAGTTCTTTCTGTAAGCGTAGTGAGGACTCAGCTTTTGAGTAGTTCCCTGTGGCCACAGCTCTTGCTGATAATTAACCTCCCTGAACAGAGTGGAGCAGACCAAGTCTGCCATCACTCAGTCTTTCTGCTCCTCGAGCTCTTCACATTAACCCCATCTCACTGAAATTCTCTGCTCCCAGCATTCCTTCCTCAGACACACAATGCTGAGAAGACTGATGAGCCTCTTCATTTGTGAGAATTTTAAAAAACCACAGGAAAATACTCTCCCAGCAACAATGGCTGGAAACATCATCTGGAGTTACATAGGCTGGAAAGAACCAGGGATCCTTTATCCGAATGCCTCCCTCAGCAGCTTTTTGTCTGTGCCATCCCAGCAGGAAGCCTAGCACATCACCCCAGAGCTGACAGACAGAGAGACAAACTGACACCACTTCAGGGCTAAGACGGGTGTTGTGGAGTTTTTCCCCCTCTTTTAAAATCTGTTGCTGGAAAGGAAGAAAAAAATCTGTTCCTTGACTGGGAATCTCTCAGAAAGCTGGTCCTCCAAGGAGCAGGGCAGAACTGCAGACAGGTGAAGAGGTAATTTATTAAACTCATGGCTAGTTGGCCTCCCATCAGAAAAGCAGCTTATCCACCTCCTGTCCCTGACAGCTGCCAGGAATAAGAGCATTCAAGAACTCCACTGCTCCAGAGAAAGAAACACAAGAATCACAAAGCCCAAATTCCTCTCCACATCCCTGGCAAAAAGAAAAAAAAAAGCAGGCATATTATCTCCACACGTCATATCTGGCAGCAAAACTCAGGCCCTGCACAGATATGAATTACAGGATCACATCTCTGTGGGGATCCATTAATTTTAGAGCCAGAAGTGAAATATTTCTTGGTAAAGGTCTTTCTCAGACTCTTCCCACTACCTTAACATCAGAAACCATTGCTCTTGACATCTCTGGCAGGACAAATGTGCTATTTGGCATCCTTTGGGGTGAAAAGTGCTGCAGGGAATGCAAGACGTAAGCCTGCTTCTTGAGTGGTATAAATCATCCTGTTCCTGTCTTACACTTGGGAAAATGTGGCCACATAGTGCTTTCCTCTCTGTTCCTGACTGACAGGTACATCACAGAAGTGCAGACACATTTTTAGCTGCAAGACTGGGACAGCCACAGGGTCTTGTGAGGAGCTGCTGAAAATCAGATGCCTCTCTTCCCTTCTCTCCCTTTTGTGTATTGCCTTCTCTGTAACAGTTCTGCTTTATTTAGATACATACCTGGTGCAACTTATCTCCATCCTTCTCCTGTTAACTTGACAGAGCCTTCTCTCAGCTATGCAGAAAAGGGAAACCTTTGCCATAGCAGATACACACCATCTATCAATCTCATACTTGGAAATCCTCAGGCAAAGAAATTGCTGGGCAGGAGAGCAGCACTGTGCTGTTGTAGTGGAAATGTGAGATCCTGGTGCTCAGGAAGGGCCACATTCTCTCCTGATTCCCTGGGAGCTCTTTAGTATCTGTTCAGTCTGGGTTTGTCTCAAAGATTTCAGGAAGGATACCTCTATTGCAGTCTCAGCCAGAGCCAAGAGGATGAGCCAGCCTGTTTCTACTAATTATGTGCAATGACATTCATCATCTCCTCCATGAGCTCTACTTCCAAACCATGTGCCACAGAGAAGTCAGGCAGGACATACACTGAGTGTGCGTTTTCCCAGCTCTGCAGTTTGCACCTCAAGCCTTGGGTCCCCATTTGAAGTTATCATCTGAGAATGATCAGGCCTACAAACAGAAACAGTGTTGTTTACACACCACAAATGTGGGTGCTGTCCAGCCCTTGTGTTCATTTCTGTTAACCAGACCCAGGATTCCAAGCAGATGTCAGCTGGGTCCTGTCTATCTTTCAGTGTTTGAGCTTCCCCTCTCTCTCCCTAAGCAAACTCCACCACTGCATCACACTCATTTTATCCCCTTTGCTCCACCCCACATGGCAGCTTGCTCAGTATCTAAGCTCATATTTATCCCTTGATATTGTAACCATAAGTAAACACATGTTCAGTTAACTAAAGTAACATCTTAAATGCATAAAACACGCAAGAGCAAGAAGACAAATTGTTCTGTATTAAAATGAGAACTATGAAAAGTTATTATGTTGGTTGTTTAACTCTGTGTGTTATCTGTGAAACCATATGGTAAAGCGCTCTGAGAATCACGGAGAAATAACAAGCCCTTGGGTTGACAAACTTTGTGTCATTTACCCTGAAGTACTTGTAAATTACCTTACTGTGGGTCCTTCAGTTGATGTTGAAAGGCAGTCCTGGCTGCCAGGAGGATGAGGAGCCATCCTAAAGCACCACACTTTCCCAGACAGATCTCTGAAATAAACAGAAAGGAGACAGAGCAGTAAAAGCAGTTAATCACATCAAGAACTTAACCAGGATGGTGCCAACAGCTCTGCTTTTGCCCAAAATGACATAGGTATCTTTTTGCTTTCAGCTTTATCTGTCAGCTTTTATCTTTCATGGCTCCACCACAACATCCTCGGAGCCCTGATGGCTGAAGTCCCCAAGCTCCAGCAGCCCACAAGTCAAAGATGGGTTATTTATTTTGCCACTGCCAAAATATTTCACCATTGTTCAGGAGACCAATCTATTAAAAATATGTTGATATGTCAAGTACTCTACAAATACATTAAAATAACTGCACTGTTTGATGCATGGAAGTTCATATACAATTTGATTTGAGAATTAGCTTCATCTACAAAATGCACATTTGCCTCCTCCTCTTTGAAGATAAATAGATGGCATCTTACTTGTGTAATTTCACGTGGTTTGCTATCTAATCTAACCAGGAATAAAAAGTTCCTGTCATGCCATGTGGTTAGTGTTTGAGTTTTGTGTTATCCTGTGAAATAATTTCTTGTCTAGGGATTGCAGCTGAATTGAAGGTCAGTTTTCCTAGCACTTCCTTTAGTTGTTTACTGTTCCCTGTACAATACTGCATCCAAGCCAGTTTCGTGCTTCTATTAGTACCAACATTTGACAAGGTCTGGCCTTACAACTTCAAGCAAACCAGAAGCAGTTCCATGTATCAGTGCATTCTTCATTAAAAAGGACTTGGTGGCCACCAACACAGCCAAACTGCAGGCCAAACTGAGACATATTCATGCCTGCAGACACTTTTATTTACCTGGCTTGACTCGGAGCAGAGCCTAGGTGATCAAATTTTGTTCCAACACTGCAACTGGCAAGTGGAAGTCATACCTGGGGAAGAGATGAGCAGATCACCCTTACACCATCCCTTCCTACATGCACCTAAACATGACTGGAAATAACCATGGTGAGTGTAGACATTCAGTACCCTAGCCAACTTCTCCAAAAGTAGGTACATATAATTTTGTCCTATTTTGTGCTCACAAAGGAAGAAAAAGATCTCCTGTGCTCTGGAAGGTTTGTTTAAAGTAAAGAAAGAAGTTTTGTACAGGGGGGCCTTGGATAACGACACCTGCTGATGACCCCAAGGTTGCTGGGACAGAACCCTGCCATTACCATCACCACATTCACTCCTACCTCACAACAACACGGTGGCTGAGTCCTGGGCTCCCAGGTGCCAGCCCCAAGGGTCTGTGTGTCTGTGCCCCCAAAGACATTGCAACAATCACTTTTCCTCAGCTGAGTCAGCTGCTATGAGTGCAGAGAGCAGGATAAAGCTCACACCACTTTGAGGCTCTCTGCACTCATTTCTTGTTGCAGAAAGGTGAGCGGGGACATCAGCCCCACCATCACGGGCTTGTCAGTACAAATATCACCAAAGTGCCACGCACGATGGAAACCACTCCTAGGTGCAATATATCCATGTACAAACAAGGATAATCCAGCCTTTAGGAAGAAACCATTTGCCACAAAAGGTCACAGGAGGAGCTGGCTGGCTGGCAAAGACAGACTTGTGTTATGAAGCAGCCTGGGAATGGAGGGGCCATCCAAGACCGCACTGCTGCTGGATACCTACATAAAGAATTCACGTACTGGATGCAAGTCCTACACCTCTGCCTGGGCACTCAAACATTTTACAAATGGGCTGCTCTAGTGTGGATCCCCCACAAGGTCACATGCTCCAGCATGGGATCTCTCACACGTCACAGGTCCCTGCCAGGACCCTGCTCCAGCTCAGGCTTCCCCGGAGTCCACTGCCTTCTTTCAGGCATCCCCCTGCTCCAGCGTGGGCTCCTGCAGGAGCTGTAGTGGATCTCTGCACCCACGTGAACCTTCACAGCTGCTTCACCATGCTCTGCACAGGCTGCAGGGGAACCTCAGTTCCTGGAGCACATCCTCTCCCTCCTTCTCCACTGACCTTGCTGTCTGCAGGCTTGTTTCTCTCACATATTCTGATCCCTCTCCTCTCTGAGTGCAATTACCTCTGTGCAATAACTTTTTATTCCTTCTTAACTATGTTATCACAGAGGTGTTATTGATTGGTTGGCACTGGACAGTGGCAGGTCCACCCTGGAGCCAGCTGGTGCTGGCTCTACTGGACATGGAAGAAATTTCTGGCAGCTTCTCACAGAAGCCACCCTTGTAGCTATCCTGCTACCAAAACCTGGCCATGCAAACCCAATACAATCCACAAGGATCATCAAGTGCAACTACTGGCCCTGCACAAGACAGTTCCAGAAATCCCACCCTGTGCCTGAAATCACTGTCCAAACACAGCTTCAGCTCTGGCAGCTTTCAGGCTGTGACCACTTCCCTGAGGAGCCATTTCCCACCTCAGCTGTGCTGCCAGAAGTTTTTAAAAAGCAAAGGAGATGTGTAGGACAGTGCAATTTCCTCAGGAAATTTAGGAACCATCCCATCAACCCACTCACAGCACTGCAAATCTAACAGTGCCACTGTGTAGGGCTATTGAAACTGTCATGGTCTACACACAAAATGAGGCCCAACACTCTTGGCTGTTCATGGGCAGCTTGAAAACAGGTAGAAGATAACCTTTCCCCTAAAAACAAGTTTTCAGAATGCCTCTGCTCCTATCTCAAGGCCACTGGGTTCAGACACAGTGTCACTCCTTCACTAAAGTCACACAGCTGTTTCCTGCCACAAGGACAGCAGATGAGGCACAGGAATCCTTTACTGCTGGACAAAAACACAGCCCACAGAGAAGAAAGAATTGGCATACCCAAACTAAAATGTTCATGTCGTGCTGCCTGAAATAGAAGTTTTTTTGCTCATGCCAAAAGTCAAACTTCACCACTACAAAGTTGATTTAAGTGTGTGGGTGTGAAAATTTTAGTGTGGTCTGTACAGAGGAAAGCTGGGGTTTCTATTTTCTCCATTTGGTTTCTGCTGGTGTTTCTACTGATGCCATGCAGATAACAGCCTGTGTTATCCACAGGCTTCACATCACAGTGGAAAAACAAACAAAGAAAAGAACAGGGAAGAGGCATGGACAATATCTGATCAAACTCTTCAAAACTGAAGTAGGTAAGCACACAGAGAGGAGAGCTTCTGACAAAAAGCCAAACCAAACAGAAAGTTCAGAAATCGGCAGGTGTGAGTCTCCCAAGCCATTTTGACCACATCTTGGAAATATCCAGAAACAATAACACTTCCATTTTAGCTCTAACTTTTAGTAAAGAGTCAGATGCTGGGACAAGCCTGAGCAGTCAGTCATTCCACCTCCTTGCAACTCTGTTTCCCCAGGCAGTCTGGTTTATCCCTCCAGTCCCATCTTCACTAAGTGCCTCTTCCCACCAGAGGTCACAGTCATCTCCTTTAGCTGCTGGGCTGTTTTTCCTCCAAAATTAAACAGCTGGATTTTTCAGTGGTCCTTGCTGACATGAACAGACATGCTCCACATAAACAGAGTGGCAGCTAAAGGGAATTCAGGGTGACAAGAGGGATTAAAAAGATCAGTGGGGAACCACTACTGTGTTCAAACAGGTTACAGTAGGATGAGCATTTAAAGCATGAATCTGATGCTGTTATTCATCTGAAGTCAGGACTTCACGTATGAAGCCGTGGCATCTCAGAGTCAGACACTCCCTCTGCTGACCTCTGCTTTTCCCGACTCTGGTTACACATCTCTGCACACATCCCGGCCACCAGTGCTTGCTCAGCTCCCCACAGCTGCTGCAGGGACCCAGCAATGACGCAAGCCTGCCCAGGGACAGCAGATGCAGCTCTGAGCTGCCACACAGGGGGTTCTACCTGTACCCCATGGACTTGCAAGTGGTTGTCAGAAACAGCTACTGCCAGCAGACTGCAGCTTTCTCTGCAATGCTCTGCTCTGCTCCCACAGTTTGGGGTATCTGCAAAGAAGGAAGTTGACAGCCAGTTCTCTGATGCTGGAAAGCACTACGAAGTCAAGGCACCATCTTTCAGGAGAGTTACTGAGCCAGTGAGACCTTTCTTACTTAATACAAACTAAACACTTCTACTACTCCTTTACCACCCTCCCATTTCCATAAAAAAAGCATTTTGAGTTAATTTCTACCTCCATCAATTATCAGGAGTAGAACTGAGTCACAGGCAGTTGCAAAACAATATTTTACACCACACGGGCTGCTAATTTTCTCTCTGATAAAAGGGTTATAACAATGTTGACAAGGAAGACAAATGACAGAGGCAATGATCCACAACGTCCTCTCCTCCTTAAGGATTGCAGTTATATCTTTATGACAGAGTTATAAAACGAAACAATAAAGTTCCAAGACCATTAGGAAAAGGTCACGCACATTACAGTAGGAAATACCTATTTCAGATCTTATCTGAAGTGATGAAGACAAACAACATTCAGAGTCTTGGCCTCTGGAACGTCAGCTTCCTCAAAGGTATGTGCCTTCTCTTCCCCCACAGTGAAGTTTAATCAAGACTGAAAACAAGGGCGTTTTTTTGCCCTGTGAGTCCAGGCAGCTCAGTGCACTCCCTCGAGCCAACAAATACTCATCCCACACGTGAAATGGAACTTAACTCTTGGTGGCTGGGGGATTGAGGGAAGTTTTAAATAAGATGCTAAAAAAACCTCCTGGTCCTGAGCAGGAGGAATTGCTCAGAAAATGTGATATTTCTCATCAGTAGTCATTAGCTAAGTTTAGCCAGTCTCAGGAAGGCGGGAGAACAGGTGGATCACAACATATGGGATTTGCGAGAGATTTGCGAATAGAAAAGAACTGAGCACATCCTTAACCCTCCCCGGAACAAACAGCACCTGAAATGTTCAGTCGGAGCTCTGCGGGCCCTCTCTGCTGTTTGTACAACACAACAGCACCATCCAGAGGATAAACACTGCTGGCTCTGCCTCTCCCACCACAATATCTTTCCCTACACTTGCAGGATATGAGCTTTATTCCAACTGGGCGCACTGCAGGGCTGCGTTCAAGTTACCCTTGGGTAAGCAAATGTGAGCAGGAGGGCAGTAATAAAGACCTCCAGAAAGAACCCCACGTTGCACTGCCAGGCAGCACCATCTCTCTCCAGTGTTCCTTCCTGCAGGGCTGCAATCTCTGCACCAGGCAGAGGAGGAAAAACTGCACTGTAAGGACTCATCATCCCTCACCTTGATTTACCACAGGCACAGGCAGTGGTGGTGGTGGGGTGAGTCCCCAGGCACATGGGGAGGAGGCTCACAGCCTCCCTGCCACGCTTGGCCCAGTCCCACTGCCGGTTTTGGAGATGTGCTGAGGCTGTTTGTGTTTCCCCAGGGTGATGTCAGCTGGTTGGCTCATCTCTCCCTGTAGCAGCAGCCCTAACGACTTGCTTCAACGCCTGAAAAGTCACAATCCCCACAGCAGATTTGGCACCAGCTTCTCATGGAAAACAAAATCAATTATCTCCTTCCTTTGAGACAAATGAAGATGAAACAAACTATGAAATACTTCCACTTTGTGTTTATTGTTCCCAGTGCAATTTAGCAGTTGACAAATGGGAGCATTCCCAACAGCTGAGCACACCATCACAAACCTCAGAGGCTGCATTCCTGACCTACTTTGGGAATTAAGAAAGTATTTCAGACAGGAGAATTTCCCCTTTAGGTAAAAAAAAAAAAAAAAAGTGTCTTACAGCTACACTATTCCAGAAGTGTTGACTGGGATCCAGTGACTGGATGAGCTGAATAATATCTATTGGAAGTTTAAAAAAGAGAAACAACAAAGCAAATCACAGGGTCTTCCATGTTTTGCTCTGTCCCCGTCCTAGCACAAAATCAGATTCAAATCCATGGCACTGGCACTCTATCCCCATCTCCTGAGCCTATCTTTAGAAATT